AGTGTGTTGGCGTAGAAATTGGCATAGCCGTTTCTTCCAGGGGTCCCAGTCCGCAGCGCGGAGTAGAGGGGGAAGATATTGGCATGCTTCGGTAAGGAGCTTGTGGACAAAAGGTTTGTGGATGAGGGAGTGCGGGAGTCTCCTGGAGCGTGGGGCGCAGTTCGGGTTTGTGAACCCTAGAAGCATTTCCGTGTAGTGTGAATGGTCAGATACAGATTGCGCTATCGGCCGGTGAGCAAAGGCAAGAACCCGGGGCAGCCATGCGTTGGAGAGGTAGATCCAGTCTAGGCGAGAAGAGGGTGGGTCTTCTGTGGCGCTGCTCGAGCATGCGGATTCGAAGGTGAATTCCACTGCAGTGGGGTGACGAACTCTAAAGGGATCCGCGAGGCCGTGTTTGTCCAGGATGGAGGAGAGTAGAGCGCCTTCTCTGATTTCTGAGGTGCGGAGCTCTCGGTTGCGGTCAATAGGGGCAGTAACTACATTGAAATCCCCCATAATCATTGTTGCTTCTGTGGCAGACGCAATATCAAGAGCAGATTCAAGCTTGGTTTCCCACCAGCGTCGTCTCTCTGGTTGGTAGTTGGAGCCATACACACAAAAGCATCGGAATTGTTTGTATAAAAGGCAGATGTGTGCCATGAGGAATCTGCCATCATCTGATGAGGAACGGTCTATGATAGAGATGGCTGGATTGAAGATCATTAGCGTGATACCTCCTGGGTCGCAGTCCCATTGCTGACAGTAGGAGGTGTTTGTGCGTATGCTTTGGGACGGAATTTGCGGATTAGTTTGGTGAAGTTTTTGGTGAGGCGAGTATCAATAAGGACCAGAATGTCAGGCAATCTAACAAATGAACCGCGGAGCTCGTCCATCTTTTGCAATGAGTTGAGCCCATTGATATTAAGGCAGGAGATGGTAATGGGGACTAACATGGTGGTACAGCCTGGCCCCCTATGCACCAGGGTGCACACATCCACGGGGGAGATGAAGAAAGTAGATCCGGCCAGGAGGTGGTTGCAAGGCGGGGTATAGGATTGGTTTGGTAACTTGTGAGATGGGTGGGATGTTGTGCGGTAAAGCTGTGGTTATGTACCTTTATATTGTCAGTACGGGGGCTGTCAGGAGGCAAAGGTTTGTCCATGCAGCAAGGAAGTTTTTCAGAATTTGTGAACAGCCAGAACAAGGCCATCTCCAGACAGACTAACAGAGCCAGCGCCGGGCTCAGACGGTAAGGTGAGGCATACAGAGAATCACACATGCACCAGTGGTCTACAGAAGCGAGGTAAGGAAGGAGGCAATCTCCTCTCGCTATCGGAGATCGTGTGCCTTCCTGGGGCCCCAGGTCTCCAGGGCAGTATGCTGGGGCTCCATTCGTCCACCATGGTGAGGAAGTAAAGCACTCCCCCAATCCCCTCAGTCCTCATAGGACCCACCAGGTCCATGTGCACCACCTCCAAGGGTGCCTTCGCCGATCCATCCGCACGTGGAAACGGGAACCGCGCAAACTTGTTTAGCATGCACGCCTCGCAGCTGCCATAGTGAGCGCCATCTCCTTGCAGTTGCAGCCCATGCACGCACTTCTCCTTGTGCATCACCTCCAATGTTGAAACAGCCACGTGTGCGAGTCGCCGATGCCAAGTCTCCCAATCCGTTTGGCCCGAGGTAGCTGACGCCTTCACCGCCGCGCTTCCTCCAATCAGCTCCTCTACTTGCACACCTTGCTGCTCCTCCTCAGTGACACTCTCCTCCATAGATGCCGCCACTGCCGCCTTGCCCAATTTCTGCCAAGGGAGGACCGGGATCTGCCACATCCGCTTGTGGACAGCCTCTTTCCACTGCAGGTCCCAAATCAGCCGCTCATCGTTGTAGGCACGATAGCGCTCCGAGCCAATCGTCTCGGTGTTCACACCCGCATCTCCCAACCGGCCGGTAGAAATCATGTTCACGTACAAGTCCGGGACCAATAGCACGTTCTTCAATCCCACAAGCTCTCCATCCGCTCCCATGAACTTGGCGCACCCCATGCCCATGACCTTGGCCTTGGCGCTCGTCGCGAATGCGACCGTAGAGATAGGTGCGGGCTGAATCTCATCAAGAATGTCTGCACGAGGATTCATGTGCCAGAAGCTTCCCGAGTCAATCACCCAATGGGTGAGGGGGTGTAGGAGAACCTTGGCAGCCATAGCGAGGTCGGCTGCGCCTTCGTTCACGAAGAAATAGAACCCAGCCTTTCGCTCCTCAGATTTGCTGCCTTTCTTCTCCTCCTTCTCCTCTCCACTAGCTCCCATGACTCCCCAACTCCTCCTGCCACCACGCTGGTTGCTTGATGAAGGCGGGGTCCAATCCTTGGGTCGTTGGTAGCACTTCCGCCAACGACGTCCGCGCTTCTTGCAGTAGAAGCATACCTCCCCTTGAACCCCGCCGCCATCCTCCTTAGGGTTGTCCTTGTTCTTGCCCTTCCACTTCTTCTTGAAGCCACTCTCTCCACCTCCAACTCCATAGCCAGCCCCCTCCTCCGAGCGCTCCACACTCCGCCGCCGCAAGTCCTCCTCCTGGATGCGCGCGCGAATGTAATCCACGCTCCATTGGAGTTGTTGGGAGTTGAGGTTGATCGTTAGGGCAGACCATGACTCCGGCAGCCGAATTACGATCTCCACGCATTGCACGAGCTCCAGGTACACCACACCGCCACCTTGGAGCTTCATGAAGATGTCCCGCATCTCATCCAACACCGGTTGCATCGGCTTTTCTTAACGAACTTGATATCGCGCAGCCGCCGCGCGAGTAGCACGATGCCGGTAGCATGTGTCGGTGAGTGCACATCCAGAAGCTTCCTCCAAGCCTTGGGGCCACACTCTGGATCACCCAAGAGGTCCTTGATGTGGTCAAGTTGTCGCCCGCCACTGCTTGCACCATGAGCATGTACGCATCTAACGATTGCTTCATCCACGCTCCTTTCAACTCCGCAGCCTCCGGCATCTTCTCCTTCTCCTCCACCAAATCCAATATCTTATATTGGGTTTACATCAGCCTCATGCGGAAGCTCCAGTGCTCGTAGTCCTCCCCCATGAACTTCGCAATAGAGAACACCTTCACGGGATCCACGGTTGTTGGAGATGGTGTAGTAGATGTAGGTAGCGTAGGGATGGCTGATTGGTGAGTCCCCACTCCACCACCAGCAACTCCCCCTTGCTCTCCAGTCTCTCTACTTCTATCCATCTCTTCACTAGCACCTCTGGAGTTCGTACAAACCATATTGAGGCCTTATGAACGGTGAAACTTGTGAAATCGTTTGGAGAGAATACTGCTAGATATTTCGATTCTATGAAAATCGCCGTCGCGGACTAGATACTTCGAGTTAGAACGCGGTTTGACAACCAATCGAAAGTTCGCAAGTAGAGCTACTCGAAATGGTCTGACTCGTCAACATTGGTTGAGAATTCACGAGGATTCCTCGTCTCAAAGTCGAGTACCCACTCTGATACCACTTCTTGTTCATGATCCGTCACTTTAAGAGCTTACGATGAACTCATTACTCACTTGAACGCAAATCCGCTCAGTAGGATAGTGCGCCTTAAGCTTAGCTACCATTTACGAGTTTAATCAATCGTCAGAATGTTCTATGGAGTGAGAACCAAGTAAAAACGTCCAGCAGCCGCATGACTAGAATGGTGGAGGAAGTACAAGCATTAAGGCATAGAGAGTTGGAGTTGGGAACTTCCAAGAGAACCATGTGAGGGAAGGGGTTCTCCAAGAGCTAGGGAAGGATGGTAGGAACCTTCCTAGCAGCAAGGATGCAACCCTCATCATGAGGTCCTTGAGGTGTCACATGCAAAATCCAATCTAGTTGGATTTTGCCTAGGTGTTGCAACATTTGCAACCCATGCTAGAAACTTCTAGCTATCCCAAACCAAAAGTCAAAGTTGCCTCCCAAACCACCCAACCAAAGATCCCTTTATAGTCATGTCCAAGTAATCACCCAAATTAGATATAACTGTCAGACTTATATGACTTAGCCTATGTAGGCTATAGTGGGGTAACACATATGGGGTACAACACATTTCTAGGGTTTGTACTTGTACCCAACTTTTCCCTTAGTCATTCTCATTTCTCAATTCTCACATGGTATAGAGCAGGTTCCCTAGTGGGAACTTCCTAGGGCCCACCACTGAACATTTTTTTCTACCTGCCCTAAGATCGAGTTGGCCCCTACCGAGGCGCGCCCAGTGTGCCGCCCTCCCCTTAGCGACCCGTCGCGCCGCCCTTGGCGGCCCACCCTCTCTCACGGCCCCTCGCGACTCCGTCGCTGCCCCCTAGCGGCCCGTCGCGCCGCCCTGAACGGCCCGTCGTGCCGCCCTCAGCGGCCCCTTGCGGCCCCACCTCTCGCGGCCCCGTCGCCGCCCTCTCGCGGCCCCGTCGCCTCCCTCTCACGGCCCCGTCGCCGTCCTTCGCGGCCCCGCCGCCGCCCTTAACGGCTGCGTCGCCGCCCGTCGCGGCCCTGCAGCCGCTCCTCGCGGCCTCGTCGCCGCGCTCTCGCGGCCGCGTCGCCGCCCTCTAGCGGCCCCAGTGCCGCCCTCTTGCGGCCTCGTCGCCGCCCACCCGCAGCCCCGTCGTCGCCCTCTTGCGGCCTCGTCGCCGCCCTCTCGTGCGGCCCAGTCGCCGCCCTCTTGCAGCCCCGTTGCCGTCCCGGCCCCTTCACCGCCGAGCCGCCGAACAGCTGAGCCGCCGAGCCGCCGAGCAGCCGAGCCGCCAAGCCGCCGAGCTACCGAGTTGCCTGCGGCCGAGCTGCCAAGCCGCCGAGCAGCCGAGCCGCCGAGCGGCCGAGTCGCCTGCAGCCGAGCCGCCGAGCCGCCGAGCAGCCGAGCCGCCGAGGCCATCGTCTAGCCGCCACTGCCTCTGTCGAGCCGCTGCCACCGCTGTTGCAGCCCTGTTTCTACCGGCGCGCCCCGGCTCTACCCACCCGGACTAGTGAGAGCACTCCCTGCTAGACCACTGCTGTCATGGCTACCCCCAGTGTCCTTACCTTTGATGCTGAGGGTCGTGCTGTTGACTTCGAGGTCTGGGTCGATGACCTGCAGCATTTCCTACAGTGCGATAGGGCAGGCGGACTCTCCCTGTTCGATCTCACCTCTGGTGCCTCTCCTGCCCCGCTTGCTGGTGCTGACAACATTGTTCGCTCACAGTGGGCCACACGCGATGCTGCAGCCCGTCTTGCTATGCGTTGCCACTTACCGACCGCTGAGCGTGTGCACTTTAGTCAGTACAAGAGTGCTAAGACCTTGTACAACGCTGTAGTTGCACGCTACTCTTCCCCTGCGACTGCTGCTCTTAGCCGCCTCATACTGCCGTACCTGTTTCCTGACCTTGCTGCCTTTCGCACAGTCGCTGACCTCATTACGCACCTTTGCACTAGTGACACTCGCTACCGCACTGCGCTTCCTGCTGAGTTCTGCGCCAAGAACCCTCCCCCCAGGTACATCACCCTCTACTATATAGTCACCCGGCTCCCTGACTCCCTTCGCTTAGTCAGGGACCACTTCCTCTCAGTTTGCCCCACCACACTCACCGTTGACCTCCTCAAGGAGCGCCTCCTGGCAGCAGAGAAGAGTACAGTCGATGTAGGAGCCTCTAGAGGTGACCCGCGTGCCCCTGTCTTTGAGGGGTGCTCCCCCTCCCCCCTTTTGCCCTCTGTTGCCTCTGCTGCTGCCGTCGACTTCGTTGGCACCGAGTCGGTCGGCTCTGCGTCTGCCCCTAGCGGGCGACGCCGTACCGGCAAGGGCAAGGGGGGCATGGGTGCTGGAGGGGCTGGCGGGGGCGGTGGAGGTGGAGGTGGAGGAGGCGGAGGGAGTGGGGGTGGTGGTGGGAGTGGTGGCGGGGGTGGGGGCTTCGGGGGCGGCAGTGGCGGCCGAGCCGGCGACAGAGGTGGCGGTGGGAGCGAAGGAGGAGGCAGTGGCGGCGGTGGCGGAGGTGGCGGCGGAGGAGGTGGAGATAGTCGGGGTGGCTCTGCGCAGCGGAGTGGCTCAGGTGGTGGTCAGCGCCAGCAGCAGCAGCGCAATCGTGAGACCCCGTCCCCCCAGCAGCTTCGTGAGTGGTACACTGCGCGTCAGCGAGGTGGGGGTGCTGGTCCCTGCACCTACGTCCTCCGTACAGGCGACCGAGCTGGTGAGCAGTGCGGGGGCTTGCACTCCACCCAGCGCTGCTTCGGCCGCCTGACGGACGTTTGGCGTCACCAGTTCCCTGACGACACTGAGATCCCTCGCTGGGGTGAGCTGTCTAGGGCGGGGGTTGCTATCTTTGATCCTGACTATGATGCTATTCTTGCTGCCATGTATGCTGTATCTACTAGTGATGAGGGTGACTGTTACCTCTGTCTTCCGCCTGAACCGGGCATTGAGGCTGCTGCTCTAGGTGCTGGTGAGGCTGCTGCTCTAGGTGCTAGTGCGTCTGCTGCCCCAGGTTGTTGGTGCAACCCTCCGGTTTGCACTCGGCTTGTTGTCCGTGTGCGTGCATGTGTGTGTGTATGGAATGGTGTGAGGGCATGGGATAATATATATTTCATGCTTATAATTGTGTGTGAATGTTGAGTCATGATGTCGAGTGTGTGTGTCAAGTCAATAGCGAGTTATCGCTAGACGCGTGTTACGCGGTCGTTTGTGTCTCGCGCGCGGTTTCTATTTTATCCTGTGTCGAACGTTCGGTGTGTCCCAGGTGTGTGCAGCAGACCCATCAAGAACTCAAGGATGAGTTTGTGATGAAGAGCCCGAGCCTTGGTGTCAAGCCTCAAGTGATTTCGAAGCTCGCCAAAAAGGGTACACCTCAAGATATTGAAGATAGTTACATTACTTTGTGTAGTGTAACATTTCACTTGGTGTAGGCCCTAGTGAAGGGTAGTTTCGAGACCCTTCGTGGTTGAGGACAGTGTGGCACTGTTCCACATCACTGTACCTCGGCTCTTGGGGTTTGTAGGAGCTGGGATTCATTCCCAACTCGTAACTCTTCATATCTCTTCCTATTTTGTGTTCTAAGACCATAGTGGCTGCCATAGTGCCGTTCGTTCAAACCGACACTGTGTCGTCAATACTTGGTGAAATTGTGCGATCTAAATTGCATATTGTAGGCGACGTTCAGACGCTCCAGATCCAAGTTGAATCAAGTCATTTGAAGTTGTGACCAGAACGCTATGAACGTTTGAAGCCGCTGTGCAGAAATCCGACTGTGCACTCTATCTTTCGTTTTAGGCACATTGGAGCCTATTGTGACTATAACAAGTGGTATCAGAGCCCCTTGGAGCAGTTTCGACAATGGCTGGACCTGAGGAAAGGGGTGGCAGAGGTGCTGGTGGTAGAGGAGAAGCCCAAGCTCAAGGCCAACCCCGTGACTCAGCCATGGCGCCCGTGCAACCAAGTGTTGGCCCATCTAGGGATGAGCCTAGAGTGTTTGGCCTTGACAAGTTCAATGGTGACAACTTTGCTGAGTGGTCCTTCAGAATGGAGAACATATTTGACAACTATGACCTGCTGGAGGTAATGGAAGGAACGGAGAAGCGTCCCGAGAACGACCCGGAGAAGAGCCCGTGGGTGCGGAAGAGCGCACAAGGCTACCTCCTACTTGGGCAAGCGTTGGGGAGCAGCCAGATCCGTCACATCAAGCCTTTCCAGCGTGAACCAGAGAAGGGACCAAAGGCATGGGCTGCTCTCAAGGGTGTACACGCTCCTGCAACAGCGGCGGTAGCTGTGGTGTTGGAACGGCAAATGGCGACGTTACGAATTGAAGAGGATGAAGCGGTTGAAGAAGGGGTGCAGAAATTCTTCGACTTGTTGACGCGGCTTGAGGAAGCTGATTTGAACTAAAGTGAGCTCCAAAAGAAGACCAAGTTGCTGGCCCTACTCCCTGAGTCATGGTCCTCGCTCATCATCAACCTTAATCGCGACTTGCCCCGCCTCTCGCTTGAAGACGTGAAGCGAGCTATCCTTCAAGAGGATTTCCGCCGCCGTGAGTTGGCGAGTGCGGATGGCGCAGGGGCAGCGAGCATCGGCCGTGGATATGGTCAAGGAAGAGGTAGAGGACGAGGGGGAGGAAGGTTTGGTGGCAGCAACTTTGGCGGAGGCCGCGGGAGTGGCGGTTACGGCAGCGACGACAAGAGCTACGGACGCGGTCGCGGCCGATTCGACGGCGAGTGTCACTATTGCCACAAGAGCGAACACATGTGGCGCGATTGCTACAAAATCCCTGATGGATGGACCCCTGCTCAAGGCCAAGAGGGTAGAGGAGCAGGAGGAGGGAGAGGAAGAGGCCGTGGAGGCCGTGGCGGTCGCGGTGGCGGAGCTGCCAACATGAAGAGCGGAGACAACGACAAGGACCCGAGCAACGATCGGTACCCGGGTCTATTCTACTTCGTGTCGACGCAAGTACCGACTGGTCCAGAGAATGATGAAGGCTTTGAGGAGCCAGCAGCCGTGGAGAAGGTGACCCTACACCCCCTGGACTATTGGGTGATTGATAGTGGCGCTACCTATAGCATGACACCTCGCCCGGACTTGCTCACCGAACTCGAGCCGTCACCGGTGAAGCATGTCACATCGGCTTTGGGGCAGCGAGCAGAGGTGAAAGGCATGGGCAAGGCCATGTTCAAGGGTGCTGATGGGAAGATGGTGGGCCTCAAGAATGTGCTTTGGGTGCCCAGCCTTGCTGCAAACCTGATTTCCGTGCGGCGGTTGGCAAAGGCCGGCATGGACACGAACTCAAAAGGAGCCAAGACCTATACCGCAAGGCTTGGCGATCGGATTCTTTGGGACCTTCATGAGGACAGAGATGTCTACAACGAGATGTGACAGATCCCTGTGGTCCCTATGCCTAAGGAGAGGCAAGTGGCAGCAAGCGTCAGCACCAAAGGTGAAGCGGTTGGTAGCGGCGATTGCGCGGACGGTCGCGCTAAAGAGAAGGAGTCCAAGAAGTGGAATCTTGGAGGGACCAGCAAGCTCGGTGATCATAACAAGTGTGGTGCAGCAGCCAAGGAGCAGCACAAGGGTGAGGAGAACCCCGAGGCAGCAGCGAAGGAGGAGTATGGAGAGAGCATGTGGGGCGCTATTGCGAGCGCGGCATTCTCCAATCCGACTTCGGCTACGGGGGAGTGTGATTGGCTTACCTTGCATCGGCGAATGGGGCATGTGGCCCTGCCCATCTTGCAGCAGCTAGTAAAGAATGAGATGGTTGCTGGCATACGTGTGAAGGGGGAGCCCAATGAGGTACTTGGCTGCCCAACGTGCATGCAAGCCAAGTTCACCCGTTTCCCATTCTCTAGTTCGGAGGCAACGGCTAAGGCACCACTTGATGAGGTGGTGATGGACGTGGTGGGCCCCCTGAAGCTTGGAGCTGCTAGAGCTGAGTACTTCCTCACTATTGTGGACGTCTACACCCGTATGACTTGGGTGTACGTGCTGGCCAAGAAGAGCGACGTGGCTGAATCGTTGAAGGCGGATTGGTTCCCGATGGTGGAGCGGCAACAAGACCGTCTAGTCAAGTCAATCCGCACCGATCGAGGGGGAGAGTTCCTGAGCAAGGAGTTTGGGTTGTGGCTGAAGAAGAATGGTATTCGGCACTCCCTCACCATGCCATACTCCCCTGCAATGAACGGCATCGCCGAGCGAGCGAACCGCACAATCACGGAGGCGGCACGCGGGTTGCTCATTGAAGCCGGGCTACCCGACTATTTCTGGCCTGATGCGGTGCGGAGCGCGTGTGTGGCCAAGAACAGAGCCTTGACTCATGTGGGAGCAGACAACTAGGTGCCCTATGTGGAGTGGCTAGGAAGGAAGCCAAAAGTGGATATGCTTCGGGTGTTCGGGTGCATGTGCATGGCGCTCGTGCCTAAGCATCTTCGGCACAACAAGCTTGGTGCCAAGGCGGTGTGGGCCGTGCACTTGGGCATGGCTCAAAACAGCAAGGGATGGCTTCTTTGGGACCCATTCACTAAGAAGTTCTTGGTGAGCAGGGTCTGCAAGTTCATGGAGAACTTCATGTACAAGGATTGGAAGGCGGAGAATGAGGCGAAGATAGGCGTGCGGTTTGGGGAGGTGAAGAGTTCCGGTTTGGAGCATGTGGAGCTGCCTTTGTAGCTGAGCACCAGCAGCACAACCACGAGGCAATCCTCCCTTGTGAATGGGGGAGAGGAGGCCAATGATGCAGAGGAAGAAGAGGAGGAGGTGCAGCAAGTGAGCGAGCGTGCTCCGTCACTCCCTTCCCGTACCACGAGTGCTCCACGGATTCGAGCCACACCGCAGCAATGCCAAGGCCTTCAAGTCCCTGCAGCTGAGGAGGAAGGAAGGGGGAAGAGGAGAGTTCAACCCCCTAATAGGCTGACCTATGATGCACTTGGAAAGCAAGGCAAGACAGCCCTGGCCGGAGCGGCAATGATGGTCGGAGACGACGAGGAGAGTGACTACGAGGAGTGTGCCTTCGCGTTCTTCTCTCTGGTGGAGATGCCGGGAGAACCAGCAACTCTCAAGGAGGCTTTGGAGAGTAGTGATGCTGAGGAGTGGAAGAAGGCCATGGAGAGTGAGCTGAAGAGCATCGAGGAGAATGACACGTTTGAATTGGTGGAGCTACCGGAGGGGCGTACGGCGATAACGTCCAAGTGGCTCTTCAAAATTAAGTCGGATGCCGACGGCAAGATCGAGCGTTACAAGTCTAGGCTTGTAGCCAAGGGGTACCAGCAGAAGGAGAAGGTGGACTTCAAGGAGCTGTTTGCCCCTGTGGTGAAGCCGACGACGCTGCGAACCCTATTTGCGGGAGCCGCCATCAAAGGATGGGTAGTAAAACAAATGGACATCGTAACGGCATTCCTTAACGGCATCCTTGAGGAGGAGATTTTTATGGCGCAGCCAGAGGGGTTTGATGATGGTAGTGGCAGAGTGTGAAAGCTGAAGAAGGCCCTCTATGGGCTGAAGCAGGCCCCTAGGCAATGGTACATGAAGCTGCGCGAAGTGTTGGAGGAGATCGGCTTCACTCCCTCAACGGCCGATCACTCCTTGTTCATGCTTGGCGAGGGGGAGCAGAGGAGCTTCATGGTGGTTTATGTGGATGACATTCTCATATTCTCACCCTCCTCTGACCTTGTGAAGGAGGTGATGCTGAAGCTGCATGACAAGTTCAAGTGCAAGTCCCTTGGTGACGTGAACTTCTACCTTGGGCTCCACATCGAACGAGACGTGGAGAAGCGGAGCATGCGAGTGCACCAACGGAAGTACCTGGAGGCGTTGGCTGCCAACTTTGGCCAGAGTGAAGGTCATGTGGCTACTCCCTTTCCCTCTGGGTTCAAGTGTGTGAAGGGACCAGAGGAGGAGAGCGTTTGTGAAGAGGAGAGGCGCCGTTTTCACTCGTTGGTGGGCAGCCTCATGTATGCGGCGGTAAACACCCGACCGGACGTCGCGTTTGCTACCGGGCAGCTGGCTAGGGTTGTGCAAT